ACCATTGTGTATTTAACTCAAATCATTGTGTATTTAACTCAAATTTTGCTACAATAGGCTCCATTCTTAGCTACAGGTCATTCTTAACCCTCAAATAAGTTGCGTGGGGCTGATTTTCCTTCTCATATTGAGTTTCTCTATCCCCACAGGATGTTGATGATGCTGCTTTAGTCCGGATTGATCTGGAACGCAAAATTGAATCATTGCAGGAGGAGATTATTTTCCTAAAGAAAATCCATGATGAGGTACAATTCAACAGAGTCTACCACTAACACCCCATTTTTTAAAACTGGGTATGGATGGGAAATCAAAGGCACAGATTAGTCACCTTGCTAGACAGTGCTTGTTTTTCTTTAATGTCTACAATCAGGCTGGGTTTACACGTTGCATGATGCCATCATTGTTTGGTTTTGTCTTAGTATGCGTTTGAACCCTGCTTACTAGGCATTAATCCACAAATGTATGAACCAGATCAGTTTTCAATTATAGGAAAACTGGACAACAGCTTCCCATAACCAGGTGTCCTGAAGATGTGTAAGTCCAACCAGCACACCCAAGAGCCACATTTGGTGGAAACTATGGAACCTGTAATCTCACACATCAGGAGGGGAAGAGATTGGGAGATACTGCCATACGAAATATAATGATACATTGTTTGGAAAGCTAACCTGTTTGTCATCAGACTCATTGACTGATTATTATACTGTACTTTGTGCAAACAGTTCTTAAATTCTTATTTACTTTTGTTGCACTACCATACTCAGTGTTATCTTCCACTCCAATTCTCTGCCAACAAGAATTCCAGAATGCAATGTTATCTAGGTTTAACTTCTTTTAGAATGGGATCACTGGAATGCTATATTTATATGGAAATCAGTAAAGTTCACAGTTTACCTTCCAATAGATAGTCTTCCATAGTTCCAGTATGGCTGAAAACTGAAAATTGATTATATTGTGCTATTTTTACAAAGACATCTAAATTTGTGCATTTGGGAGGAAGAAGGAACAATCCAAGTAAGCTGTCTTCTTATCTTTCTGGTCAAGAGCATTTGATCACCTTCAGTTAATTTACAGGCATTTTCCAAGGGATTTTGTGCAAAATATCTTGCTCCCTTTAATCCAGAGTCCTTTATACTCAACATCCCTGGGCCAGAACAGTCCTGAGGAGATTATTTAGTCTTGAGGTGCATAATTTTTTATGGGATAAGCTCCACATGTTGATGTTGTGCAGTGTGTGATGGGCAGACACCCAAAAATATTACATGGAGCCAAGAAAAAATATTATCCTCCAGTCATATACTTCATAATATGGGAATAAGTTAAAAACCAAGACTTTGGAGGGTTGCATACAGCCCCAGGGTCTCAGATTATACACCTCTGATTTAATCCAGTCACCAGTCCCATAATACAGAGGTGGGCTTATTTTTTTTCACACATGGACTGTACTTTTATTTATTTATTTAGATATCCAAGATCTACAGAAAACATGGTGGTGACATGGTGACATAATGGAAGGAGGGGTAGGGCCGAGAACTTCCTCTCCTCCTCCTCCAACTTCAGTGGTGTTATCTGATGTCCTGTAGGAGACAAAAACAGCCCCAAGACTATATGTGCTCACAAGGTATAGGTTGTCCTCTCCTGCCACAACAGTATTTAAATATGGGTGCATGTTTAAAGCTGACTTATAAATATTCACATAAAAAGCCCATCCCCTGGAACCTGGAACTAGAGATGCTAATTTTGTAGTCCCAATTGTCTCCAGGGTTCTGGAAGCAAAACTATGCCTGCCCTATATTAATAAATATAGTATTAGCATGGATGAGGAAAGGAAAAAAGAAAAGGTAGGTATTCAAAAACCAAGCCAGTGAAGCTTGATTTCAGCTGTAGTTCAAATGGTCTGATGGTCAAATAATTTCTTTTCTAAAGTTGTGGTTCAGAATATGCAAAATATGCAAAAACGTGTGGCTGGGTGTATTTATAAACACCAAAGGAAGTATAGGTAGCAATAAATAAATGGTAGCCCAGCTCAAAAAGACAGCTTGAGCTGATCTTAAGAATGCTAAGTGGGGTAGAACCTGATTAGTTCTTGGAAGGAAGGGCTCCAGGAAAGCCCCAGCCTGAAGGTTATATTGTGAAATTGAAAAACAACAACAACCCTTTCTGTACTGTTGCCAAGAGAACTCTATGGATGTCTCTATGTAGTCATCAGGAGTCAAGACCAACTCAAGAGAAACATTACTCACTCTTTTTTTTTTTAAACTTTGTTTAGCCTTTGGCCAAACTTAGCCTACAAGCAACTGCCAATTCATGTTTCTCTGCTTGCTTATGAGCTGTGGCTAATTGGTAGCCTTTAAGCCACAAGCGTTTATGAAGATTCTGAACTCAAAAATCATTTCGTCTCTCAGAACAGGAAGCGCTGCACTCTGTAGCTCTCAGATGTGGTGGTGAATGTTAAGAGACTTACCTCTAATTCTTAGTCCAAAGCTCCAGTTTGAATGGAGCATGGGGCTGAGTCTATAGGAGTATACTCTCACTTATGGAATATACAAGGTGTGTCCCAACCCATCCTCCTAATGTTACTTCCCTCCAAAACCTATTTTTCCTCTGACTGGTTTTATGATGGTTCTTTCAAGCAATCACATTTCCAAGTTAGGATAGAAAGTTGCTTGTTACAGGCTGCTTATGTAAGCAGGCAAAATCAAGCCAGGCCATTTTTATAGGGATTGTGAAAATGTCTAGAAAGGATTCAAACTAACAATAACAATAATTATAATGCCAACACTCCAGAGCATGGTCCAACCACAATTAAAATTATCAGTTAAAACAAAAGTAAAAATTACAAGGATGCTATAAAATCAATATGCATTCTACAATCCCAATTGAAATAATACCTAAAGAAGTAGTAAAACTTTACTGGACAGATTAGGATTGGTTTTAGGGATACAAATTCTTATAAAATCTACTACAAAGTGAATAACTTGCAAAGGAGAGGGTGGAAGCAGAGAGGGAAGAAATGCTCCATTTGATATCCCCAAGAAAATTAGAGTCAAGCAAAATGTTACTTCTTTTCTTTCACAGGGAGGAGAGTTCTGATCTATGTACTTTTGCTGACAAAAATTAGGACTAAATCAACACACACACACACACACACACACATGCAACTACAATATTGTTGGTCACACAAACTTATGAGTTTTCTAGCAACTGATCGTTCCTCTGCATTTGTGAGGTGGTATGTCATCCTTGTGTAGTGTAGTGTAGTGATTAAGGCAGGTGACCCAAGAAACTTTGGACATTATCTGTCCATTCAGCCTACCTCAACAGAACTGTTGTGAGGATCAAAGTAGGGGAGACCACCACACACACCACATATAACACTTTGAGCATCCAGAGCAATGTGGGATATCAATATACTGTAGTAAATAAGCAAACATGCACACAATGGAACAGGAAGTGAATTTGGGGAAACTATGGCTGACATGGCACTCCATACCTGGAAGGGTTCCCCTGTAAATTCTGCCCAAGGTTTCATAGTGGAAACCTTTTAAAGATTTCCCTTTGAAAACCGCACAGGCAGTGAACTCTTGCCTTCAGTCCATTAGGGGGACCTTTCTTTCGTTGTTGTTTGAAATAAAAATGGCTGGGTAGTTAGTTAGAAAGAAAAAAGACAGCATTGCTGTTAAAAGCTGGCAACCAGGAATCACATTAGTCAAGGATGAATCCCCAAGGTCATAGATCTGCCTGAATTTTCAGTGCTTTGGAAGGAACAACCAGAGGTCACCACATAACTCTCTCTGAGAGACCAATTTCATACAAACAATTGCAAAGTGGTAACGTAAAGCTGTTCTGAATTGAACCACTTGATATTTGGGGGAGGGGTGAGAGAGGATGCTAGAAAATCAGGCACCATTGCTGGAAATGTTCTATGTTTTCTGAGTTTGTAGAGGGTTTGTTACACACGAAAGCATTGCATTATGCAACCATTCTTGTGTACCAAATAAAGGGCATATGCAAGAACCATGTTATCCTCTCCATACCTCTTGTGGAATTTGTATGTCTGCATTCATTTCATTCCATTTCAGGGAAACTTGGCCCCGCCCCAAGACTGATGTTTCTGGCTTAAAAACCTTTCCATCACTTTCTCAGGAACTGCGGGAGCTGCGGGAATATTTGCAGCAGCAGCAGGTTCACGTCGAGATGGACATGACCAAGCCTGATCTGACATCTGCCCTGCGTGAGATCCGCATCCAGTATGAGTCCATGGCCGCAAACAATATGCATGAGACTGAGGAATGGTACAAGTCAAAGGTATAGCCCCAATACTATGGACAGAAGCAAGAAGGACTATCAAAGGGAATGCAGCATAACTAAGGGCTTCCTTTCCAATATCTTCTGGCTAGCATTTCTGATGCTGAAGAAGGTGGCCAGACTAATCAAGATGCAGGACGTTGACTGGAGTAGCATGGGCAACAACAACTTTCAATTCAGTGTTAGAAATTCAGGCTATTAATTTTATTTACCAAAAATTGTGTGCTGCCTACTTAGCAAGCTCTAGGCAGGTTATATTTCACCCTTCTTCTTTCCTGCATGAGTGAAACTCCTTTGAAGGGAAGATGAATCATATTTACTTTGATCGTAAGAATAAGGACAGGGATATGTGGCTAAAATCAAAGTTTCTTTTGCTCTCCTCCAACTATATCTGTTGTTGTCATTGCCATCATTATTATTTTAAACGTTGATTTTTTTTTAAAGTACCATTTGAGGCCCAGTCAGCATAGAGCAGGAGAATACATTACATTCTGCATTACCTGCTATGGAAATTGCAAGCCTCTGATTGTCCTCTCCTCTGAGGTGCTACCCATTTGAATTCAGGTTTGGTGCTTCCATTGGTATGGAAGCCAAAGACTCTCTTAAAGGCAGAGATCCAGGCATAGTTGACCGCTCAGCTTCAGGAACTGAGGTGATGAAGGATTGGAAAGGCTGGATAATGTTGTTTAAACTCCTGGCTGCAACTTTTGAAAACAACTTATTTGTATCTGATAGTTTGCAGATCTGAGTGATGCCGCGGCACGGAACATTGAGGCACTGCGTCTAGCCAAGCAGGAAGCCAACGAGTACCGCCGGCAACTGCAGGCCCTCACTTGTGATCTGGAATCCCTTAAAGGATCGGTAGGTGGAGCTGATGCTGGGAAAGACCAAAATGTCGAAAACACCTGGCTAGCAGGAGGTTGGCTAGTCCCAGCTCATAGTTCCTGTGGGTAGCAGAGTGAGGGAAATTAATAACTTTCTCCTCAGCTACATCGGAAGATGAGATAAAGCAAAGAGAATCTCTCCACTATTTGCCCCCTCCCTCCAAACTGTCTCCATCAGTGGCCACTCTATGTGGCTGCACCAGAGGGTGAGATGGAACCACAAAAGCCCTTCCATCAGCTGAGCTGAGACCAACCAACTGCTATTGATTCCTTCCCTCCCAATAAACGTTATGTAGCTTTTACTTTCTTTGTATTCCAATATCTGCCCTTTTCTATATTCTTTGTATTTTAATATTTTAATAACTATACAGATATACCCAACACGTTATGGACCCTCATTAGACAAAAATCTAAAGATTTAAAATTGCTTATTTCTTTTCTTTCTCTATTCCTTTTTCCGTTATGTTTTCTAGACCAGTGTTTCTCAACCTTAGCAACTGTAAGATGCATGGACTTCAACTCCCAGAATTCTCAGCAGTGGTCATGCTGGCTGGGGAATTCTGGGAGTTGGTCCACACGTCGTAAAGTTGCCAAGATTGAGAAGCATTGCTTTTAGACCATAAGCCATTATTTTAAACTATAAACTATCCTAGCCACTTTGGCAGACAGGCAGTTTACAAATGTAGCTGGTAAATAAATATGGGCCACATTCAGGGACCATAGTGTGGTCAACATTGATCTTTCTTGCTATGTCACTTAGGGCTCCCTGCGAGCTGCAGCCAGCGGGTGATTCTTTCCCTGTGCTGATTACAGTAGGGTTGATCACTGCCTTGTCACCTCATCAAGAACCCTTTTATTTTCTTCCTTGCAGAATGAATCTTTGGAGAGACAACTGAGAGAGATGGAAGACCGCTATGCTCTTGAGACTACCAACTATCATGACACAGTGATTCGGCTGGAGGAAGATAGTCGGAGCTTAAAAGAGGAAATGGCTCGTCACCTCCAGGAATACCAAGATCTCCTCAATGTCAAACTGGCATTAGATATTGAGATTGCTACTTACCGCAAACTCCTGGAGGGAGAGGAGGGCAGGTAAGATACAGATCCGTTTCTTGTACTGACACTTCTGCACAATAACTTTCCCAGTGAAAATGCTGAGAATGCTCTCAGTGGTCAGCCTTGCCCTATCAGAAAACTGCAGACCTCATCTGTAAATCAGCTTTGATCTAGATATACAGCGGAGTGAGGCATTAATGTCCTGAAGTAACAGAATAAATTGGACCATATCACACTGGGATCATATTTTAAATGTTCTCCTATGTTAAGGTCCTGCGATTCCCTCAAGGAAGAAACTGGTGCAAGAAGGAGCCGGCTGAGCTTCTAGAGAAGGATGGGCCTGTACAACATGCAAAGGAAGGCTCTGCCGCCTCTCCTTCCTCCATTCTTTTTAAACAGCCCCAGCAGATCATGGCTTTAGCGAGCTAAAAGAAAGAATTTACAGCCCAGTCAAGAGATTGAGGAAAGATTTTTCATGCTCCTGAAGCTGGCTGAAGGGAGTGAAAAGCCATCAGAGCCTGGAAAGAGCTGGATTTTTCCTTAGAGCTAGCAGGCTGAAAAACTGAAGAGCCAGAGGAAAACAGCCATCTGGCTGAGCTTGCCTGAAATTGCAGCAGCTGAAACTATGACAGAAAGGCAATGTCAAAGCCAGAAAGAGGTTCCACAGGGTGGGGAAAGCAGACAGGCCTAGGGAGTATTCTTATGAAGAAGCCCTGAGGCAGTTAAGTGGTACACTGGCTAAGACCCACTAAAGAGGCCCAGTGCTGGTGGCCCACCAAAGAGGTCTGGTTGCCAGTTATTGTCCACCCTGTGGTAGTTTTCTGGGAGAGGCAGGTGGAAGGCAGTGGATCACAGTAGGAAGAAGAACATGTTTACAGTGACCATACATCCTTTATTATAAGGAACAGTCCTCTATTTCAGAAAGCTGTTCTTTACATTTATTTATTTATTTATTTATTTATTTATTTATTTATTTATTTATTTTCTTAGTTTTGCTCTTGAATTTCCCTTTGTAAAGCAAAGATATAAACATAAACATTTTTTTTTAATCCTTATGAACCTTTTTCAGATTTGCCCCCTTTTCAGGCTTGTCCTTTATTTTTTCCAAGAAAATGCGGTCACTGTACCCATGATAAAACCTGCATCAGGCCTTGGAGGACCAGATAGCCTCAGGAAGCCTTTAGCCAAGCCAAAGGCTAAGTCCTAATGGATCATAGAAGGACTACAGGGATCCTACTCAGTAGATGTAAGCAGCATAGCCCTACACACTTGGAGAAGTATTGCACTACCAACTTGTAACCAACCTGCCAATCGACTGCCCAGTATATGGGTATTGTCACTTTCCCTGCCTGTTATTGATTCCATCCTAAGTTGAACCTATCAACAACTTCAATCTGTTTTCTGCTTGCAGGTGGGTAGGTGGATCAATGGATGGATGAATGGATAGTCAGATAAATAGATACTAATCCCCATCTGCAGTATAAAATTATAGTCTATTCTCTCACTTCAGTGTTCTTCTGGTTCATTCTATTTATGTGGAGATCAGGTCTCCCTCCAAAGCTGGGACAGATGATCATGGAATATCATGAGATAAAACATATGCCTCCAGGTTAACTTGTTGCTAGTCAGACACTGCAGTTCAATATTTTTAAAAGTGATTGAATATAATCAGGTTTGAAACAAAACATGCCCTTGTCCCGTTGAGCTACCATATAGGTTCAAAATTATGAATTCACCATGCTAAAACTCTCCATTTAGTTCAGGAATACTGTAATATGCATGTGGAAAGCTCCTGACTGTTATCCTTGGCTCTGAAAAATTGTTGTTTTTACTATTTCACTTCAGTTTGAGCAACAACTTTGTCAGATTCTTGTTTCTTTCACTAGTGCTTCTTTGATCTTATACCTTATCTAAAACAGAATCTGTAATTAATTGATGGACAGAGATTGGGGAAGGAGGGAGAAATGAAAAGATTAGTACATAATTCCCAAACCCACATTGTTCCTTGCTTACTTCTGCAGGATTACTATCCCAGTACAGACTTTCTCCAACCTTCAGATCCGAGGTGAGATATTCATTCTGCCTTGCTGATCAGCACACGTGGTCCCTCCTGCATGAATCAGTACTATTTTTTTTTTAATGCTTTGCTTCCCTATCTTCTGACCAGTGGGCTGTAGAAAGATGGCTTCCGCACAGCTGGTTTTCTTTGGAACAGGGAATTATGGCAAACTGCCTCTTTGTAGAAATAAAATAATTGAATAGGTTTCAGCCTCAGAAGGAAATATATAAGCAGCAGCCAGAATGATGGATACTTTAAAAATGTATATTATTATGTTTATTATTATTTGTAATCCTCTCAGTAAGCAAAGTAAATCTCTCAAAACATTAAAAATAATGCAGTAAGTACAAGAAGTACCAAAAGAAACATACAAACGTGTTTATAAACTTGTTTATTTTCTATATATTTATTTCCTGCCTTAAGTCCAAAAATTCTGAAGAGCTTTCACAAACATTGAAAATTTTATTGGAAATAAAGAAAAAAATATTCCTTGCTTATTGAAACTCTTTCACAGGCCAATAACTGAATCCAGAGTGTCTTTTCCCTTGCTCCCGCATCTGTAGGAGAAGTTATAAACTCTTATATGGGCATCTCTTTTATCTCCTTTTCAAGGATGTGTTCAGTGATATTGGAATACTGGATCATCTCAAGACCTTTTGTTGCAATCCAGTGTAGAAACACTGTAGGTCCTGACATTCAGCCAGCTTAGAACAAAGTGGACTGCACTTGAGAAATCTCTGCTTCCAACTTCCAACCCATTTAAAAATTCTCCATCTATGAACCCTTGATAATCAACCCCATGAAGCACAGAAGCATCGCCCTGTTAGATGCTATACCAGTTCTCTGTTCTTGTATATGTTTTTATGCTTCTTCTTTCTAAGTTACAACATTTTTGTGGTTGCCTACTTTAGGAGAGGCTGTTTAAAACACTCCAAACTAAAAAGTCAAAAGTCTATCTTATGCCCTTAAATCATTTTTTTCTGTCTTCTAACACCAAAGATGTTATTATGGATTAGTTATGTCCAGCAACATTAGTTACGTTTAGTCTACTTTCAGCACTCTCTAGCAAAGTTTCTTCCATGTTTTCATGCTAGGTGTTCAATGAAGCAGCATTAGAGAGTGAAAGACATTGAGTTTTCCATCAGAGTGTTTTTTCCACCCCCCCCCCCCCCCCCAAGAAAGTCCTTGTCATGACTTTTCCTATGGTCTCACATCTCAGAGCTCACTGCAGATCACCAGGGGCTCCCAAGTCAAAGTTTTGCTCAGTGTCAATGACCCGGCTGTTCTTTCCCTCTTTACCAGAAACCAGCCTTGACACAAAGTCAGTTTCTGAGGCTCGCCTGAAGAGGAGCATTGTGGTCAGAACACTGGAAACTAGAGATGGAGAGGTAGGCAATAGTTACCCATGCACCCAAAGCCTTCTATTTTTGATCATAGAGTTCATCTGATAAAAAGTGTAATGAAAAATCTAGTTGGACCTTTTGTTTTCAAACATCTGAAGCATCCATGAGCGTGTCTGCTCAGAATCTCTCTATTTTTATTCCCTTTCAGCTCTGATAGCCAAGAAATTCTTCTTAATTTTCAGATTTATTTATCCTATGTATATAGCCGCCCATCTCATGCAAAGTGATTCAGATTATTACTCTGCAATGTTTCTTTCTTTCATCTTGTTCTGCCATCAGGAGGTAAATGACTCTGTCCCTTTTAGCGTTCAAGCTTCTTTGTAAATTGCCAGTATATCTTAGTCAAATTAATGTTTATCATTCTAACTTGTTAGATTACATCTTTAAATAGCCAGCATTAAAGGATCAATACAGCTCAAAACTGATAAGCATAGTATTGTATTAAGAAAAGAGGGGGAAAGGTGTGGAAATTATGTCGTAAACAGAACAACTTTGAAATCTCTGACTATAGTGGTCAAACATCTTATTCTTTGTCCCGTTGTCAAAAAACCAACAACAAAAAGGAATCCCCCCCCCTTTTGAAATGATAACAAACAACACAACATTGTACATTTCTGCAAATCAGCTATAGGTCTTACTCTCTAGAGTTAAAATATAATTCTTTTAGCCAGTTCCCATGTCCTTCTGTACTGGGATTCCTTTTTTAAAAAATATGTAACAGTATTCTTTCTGGTTTTCATACTGTTGCTTTCTTACTGTATCTCCAGTTTACTACAAAGAAAATATCATTAAGATTCCTACCTTACAAGTACGACTGGGCACAATAAAAATAAATTTTATTTCCTCTAGAACTAATGTATGGAAATACAGGTGATGGGTATGGAGAGTGGAATTAGAAGAAATGGGGAAATTTTATTAAAGATTATATTTGCAATAGTAAAAACTAATACAAACTAAAAGAAAGAAAGAAAGAAAGAAAGAAAGAAAGAAAGAAAGAAAGAAAGAAAGAAAGAAAGAAAGAGTAAAAAGGGCAAAGGAAAAGAGGGAAAAAGTAGAGAAAAGAAAGAAAAAGCAAGCAAGCAAGCAAGAGAAACTTCATCACAACAAGTATAAACAATTTTGGTAACTTTTCACCTCCTCTTAATTTACAGCCAATGATCTCTTCATCCCACATCTCATGTCTTATCTATAAACAAATTCACAAAGCATCATCATCTCAGTCCTGATGTCAGCAAAAGTCCGTTAAGGGTTGCCAGAAATAACAACATATCTTAACCTTGATCACATAAACCAGCTTTATATTCCTTCCTTTTACTTCTAACAATCTTAATCTTTA